GCCCCCACTTACCGTTGTCCAGGCCCGTCAGCATGGCCGCGGCCAGGGCTCGCGACGGCGCCACCCACTTCTGCGCCTGAACGCGATTTAAATCGCGGCAAGCGCAGGATGAGAGCGGAAATAGTAAGAAGAATTGAATTGGCAATATAAAATAATAAGAATAATGTTCTCTCTAGAAGAGGAAAGAAACCTTGAGAGTCTGAGAGAAGCGGAGGACAGCGGTCTGTACGAACGAGGAGAACAGGTTGTACACCGCATGCTCGAATATCGGGCCCAGCAGTCCTGTTGTGTAACGCACACGCACACACGCACACGCAAAACCGCACACCCACACGCAAAACCGCACACACGTGCAGACATGAGCCAATGGGGATGCAGGTAAGGTGGGAGCAGGAGGTCGATGTAATGACGGACCTCTGAAGTCGAGCCCGACCCTGGCCAGCGAGGTGGCGTAGTACATGCTCTGCTCCAAAATGTTACCGACCAGCGCACCCTCCTTCACCTCCGGCAAATATCTAACGGCGTGCGTCCGTGTGTCGTGTGGTGTGTCGTGTGTGCGTGTGTCGTATGTCGGTGTGTGTGTGTGTGTGTGTGTGTGTGTGTGTGTGTGTGTGTTAGCAGCTCGCAGGAAGCACAACAGAGCAAGATGGACGGTACATGCTGAGCGTGTCGGCAAACTCGGAGATCTTCTGGGTGAGCCAGCTGTGGAGGATGCCCACGCCCGACTCCCTCTCGCGGGGCGCGGAGGACGCCGCCGCCGCCACAGCGAGGTTGTCGTCCGGGAAGATGGCCCGGTACTGGGTGATGATGTCGAAGACATGCACCCTACAGCTGTCGATCAGCTTGTTCAACTGTTCCAATCAAAGCGGCATAACAGCACACGTTCGATTAGTAACGTTGGTCGTGTCGCTGCCCGTGTGCGGTGGTGCGTGCGTGTGCGTGTGTCACGTACGTAGGTATAGGGGTTGGTGGTGGGCACGGCATCGATCACGGAATGCAGCCACGCGTCTCTGCTCTTTAAAAATCTGGATCAACCAAATCGCAACAATTTTGTTTAGGTGAGAATTGGCCCGGTTCGAAGAACTGGATCGCGCCTGGTGGGGAGGGGAGGCGCCGTACGTGATGCGAAGCTGTGTTTCGTTGTACAGATTCATCCTCCGCAAGTGAGATATCGCACGCAGGCAGCCAGGCAGAGCCATGTTGTCTGTCATTGGCAAACGTTAGTGTCGTGTGTGTCGTGTGCGTCGTGTGCGTCGTGTGTGTCGGGTGTGTCGAGTGTGTGTCAAGGAGGGTACCTCTCAGTTTGTGATGAAGTTGGTTAATCATCATCTCTCGCGACTTGTCGACATCAGTGGCGATCGACTGGATCAGCGGAATGTCGGGATGCTTCTTCTTGAGCCCGTGCGTGAAGGCCTCCAGCTGGAGCGCCTCGTCGTAGAGCTCCGAGCGCACATAGGTCTCCATCAGCTCTGGAATCTCGAGAATGTCCATGAGCTTGGTGTGGTGGTCGAGCGTGTTCTGGGTGGCGGCCCGCTGCGCCGTGATCTCCACCGCCGTCTTACAGAACTGCTCGCAGGCCTTGCTCAGGCTGGGCAGAGCCGTCTCCAGTCCGCCGACCAGCGTGCGCACCTCCGCCACCTGCCCTCCCACCAACACCTGTGAGCACAACACACGACACACACGACACGACACGACACGACACTACACGACACACCTGTTGCTTCATGCCGCGGATGCACTCTGAGGTCTGGATGAAGGCCTTGTAGTTGGTGAAGGCCAGGTCCTGCATCTGCTTCTTCATCTTCTCGGACTCGTCGTGCAGTTTCTCGGGCTCCTTCATGAGCTGCTGGAAGGTGGCCGACGACAGGGAGGACAGGTAGGACTCGTACTCGGTCAGCAGCTGCTCGTCGGCGTCGCTGTGGCCGCCCATGGCCATGTCCGCGTAGCGCGGCAGGATGAGCGACAGCAGCGACCGCTCGCTCTCCTCTCGCGTGCGCAGCACTACACGCACACACGTGTGAACGGCACGATTAGTAAGATGAAGAAGTAGAAGTGGCATCGAATGGGGGCTCAACGCAAAATCCGGATTAAACTGTTTTGGAGCAGATAGAGTACCCTCCTCTGAGTTGTCCCCCTCAGTGTCCATGTCCATCATGAGTTGCGCTGTGGCTCAGGGAATGATCACCCAATCAATCAGCTGTGAATCAAAAAGAAAAAGCGTTTCCTCTTTTTTCTTTTAAGTTTTCTCGTTGTTTCTTTGAAGAAAACCCAAAATAAAACTAAAAGTAGAACATTGGCCGCATTCCCTGGTTGTCGCATGCTTGCCCGGGCAGCCGCAACAAGAACCTAGCTCTCCCCACACGACCTGGCCACAGCTCTGCATTGCCCTTGTTCGCCTTCCTGCCACCCAGAAACAAAGCAAATAGAACGCCAGAAAGATGTCGTCCGAAGACGTGAAGACAAAGCAAGATGAGTTGCGGGCAAGAATCCTCCAGTCCACCTCCTTGCCTCGCCTCAAGGTCCCTCCCCTTCCTCATGTGCGGGGAAATAAATCCTTGTTATTTTAGGACGAAATCAAATCATTTATAAACATAAATAAGTGTATTTACATAAATAAATAAATAAAAATGTTGGTGCAAAATGGCGTTGTCATGCCACCAGCAGGAATTAAATTTGTGTTGGTTTTGTTTGTTGCGTTTGCAGACGACCAACACGACGTCCCTGGCTGCGCTGGAGAAGCTGAAGGCCGACCTGGAGGCCAAGCGACAGGGCAAGAGCACACCGCCGCCGTTGTCGCCCAAGCTCGCCTCCTCTGCGCCCGTGCTTCCCTCGGCCGGCTCGCTGATCAGCCCTCGGTCTAGGGTATGTGTGCGCTGTGCCTCGTGATTATTTTATCATTCTTCGTTCTCTGATTCGTCGGCACGAGGCGATCGCCTGCCGTCAAACTCTCATCATCGTGTGGTGTCGTGTGTGTGTGTGTGTTGTGTGTCGTATGTCGTGTGTCGTGCCGTGTCGTGTCGTGTCGTGCGTGCCGTGTGTGCAGGCCGATGGGAGTCCGCCCGAAGCGCAGGAAGCGGGCAAAGAGAAAAAGGACAAAAAGGAAAAGAAAGAAAAGAAGGAAAAGAAGGAAAAGAAAGAAAAGGACAGCAGGCCGGGTACGCCGATCCTGACGGTGACCGCGCCGCCGTCGGCCGTGACCGCCTCCAACTCGCCCCGGATCATTTCGAGCCCGCTCAGCCCGCGCGACACCGAAGTCACCGTCGTCGATCTCGCCACCGAATTCGAGGAGATGATGAACGACCTCAAATTCACCGGTACGCTTCTGATTGCGTTCAACTCCCTGGGAGTTGGCTGTCTTTTTCTGACTTTCCTTTGCGTGTCATGTGTGTCGTGTGTTGCATTGTGTGTTGTGTGATATGCGCGTGTCGTGCGTTGCGTTTTGTGTTGTGTGATCACATGTGCGTGTCGTGTGTCGTGTCCGCAGATGCACAGCGAGATCAGATGGGATCGCTTCCCGAATCGCACAAACAGACCATTCTGCTCCAGTGGAAGAAGAAAAAGGTCGCACTTGCCCAACGTCGCAGCTCTCACTCCACTCCCCCGTACCTGCCCCAGCAACTTTCTCTGCGCGCGTGTGCGGTGCGGTGTGCGGGTGCGGTGTGCGGTGTGCGCGTGCGCGTGCGTGTGTGCATGTAAGATTCATCTTCGCTCCCCCCACACAGAGAGGTGCCGGCGCGAACCAGACCTCCTTCGCCGCTGAGTCACTCCGGGCGGTGTCTTCCCGCGGGCTCGACTCCTCCGCCGGTCAATGCTGTGCTCCTCAGCCGCCTGGGCGAACAGGACAAGCCCTTCCTCGCGCCTCCCGCCAGCGATGGCAGTACGCGCCATTCTCTTTTCTTTTTTAACAATTATTATGTTTACATTTGTTAGTAATCTTTATAGATTTGTATATTTTTATTCAATTACTTAGACCTACATTTTCGAAATTTTTTTTTGTTATAAAATAAATTGTAGGTGCGGTGATGCTGGCGAACCTGGAGGCGCGCAAGCAAGAGAAGATGGACGCGCTGAAAAAGCTGAAGGAGGAACTCGCCATCAAGCGGCAGCTCGCGCAGAGAGGCATTCAGAGGGAGGAGCTGAGCCCCGAGGCACTCCAGGCGCTCATGAAAGATCTCGAAGAGCAGCGCAGGGCGCGCCGAGAGGCCCGCGAGCAAAAGATGATGGCCAAGGGTACTCATCACTTCTTTTTTTCCAATCCTTTGTGTGTGTGTCGGTGCGGGTGCCTGCGTTGCATGGTGAAGGTGTGTTAAACGGTTCCGAATGCGACAGTGGAGCAAATGAAAAAGGACGGCAAGATTTCCTCGCTGGCCGATATGCAGGAGGCCATCCGCCAGGCGAACGAAATGCGGCAGCAGCGGTACGCGCCATCAACCAATCAAAACATAACATATTATTAGATAACATAACACATTACATTTAACAATCATCAGAGCTGAGCGTGCACTCGCGCGCAAGCGGAGGAAGAGTACCAAGAAGCTCATTCTCAAGGGTTCGTCACCCATGTGTCATTCACACGCGCCTCTCGTGCGCGTGTGTGTCTGCGTGTGTGCTTGGATCGTAACTGTTCCCCCCCTCCGCCCCCCAAACAAAAACAGAGCTGGAGGGGAGTGGTATCACAATTTCGCGTCGCGGTAGCATGATCCAGACACCCCAGGATGCCGCGATGCTTCAGGTACGCAACGCAACGCAACGCAACGCAAGCTTTTCGAGCTGATGGGGAACTCTTTGATTGCAACAGGAAACGAAGAAGCTGAAGCGGCTGACGAGGCAAATGGATCTGGAGGCCAAGGAGATCAAGATCGATTCACAGCTCACCAACTTCCTGACCTCCATGGTAAACCTAGAAGAGGAATGGAAGAAACAAGGTTCGTACAACGTGTGTCGTGTCGTGTCGTGTCGTGTCGTGTCGTGTCGTGTCGTGTCGTGTCGTGTCGTGTCGTGTCGTGTCGTGCTGTGCGTGCGTGCGTGCGCGATGTATGTTTCGTTTCCATCAGACGACGGTCACGACTGACAAGCCCGACACTGAAACCACTCAGAGCAACTGCGCATCCAGCGACAGGTGGAGTTCGAGATGCTGCAAAAGGAGCACGCGGAGGCGCAGGAGAGGCTCAAGCGGAGCGAAGACCTCATCTCGGACACCAAAACCCGTCTCTCCTCCATCGCCGCTGCTCTCGCCGCGGTATGCAAAACTTCTCTTCTTTTTTTCCAAATCATTTTGTTAATTCTATTATTTTGTTCTTCAATGATTTGTTTAGAAAGAGATGAATTGATGGTAAAATTATAAATCATTATTTACATTTGGTTATTTCTTTTGTGGGCTTTGTGCAGGCGGCGGGCAGGCACTCGGAAGATACGCCGCTGCAGGGCTGCCAGAACGAGCTGTCGCAGCTGCTGGAGCAGCTGGGCATGGAGGCCATCAGCGTGGTCGACCAGCGCACGGCCGAGCAAATCGAAGAGGAGAAGAAGGCCGCCATCCAGAAGCGTACCGAAGAACTCGAAAAGGAAGCCGAAGAATCTGGTATACTACACCTGCCTCTCTCAGTTACTATCGCGTGCGTGTGCGGTCGTGTGCTGTGTCTCTATGGAGCTCATTGGTCGCTTGATTGTCGTTTGGCTTGAAGGTTCGATGGGTGGCTTGCTGGCGCAGCTGAAGGGCACCAAGCTCAAGAAGGTGGACCCGGCCGAAGTCGAAAAGCAGAAGCTGGCGGCGCCTCCTCCGCCCGCGCTGGGCGACTCGCTGGGCATGTTCACCTCGCTCCAGGACACGCTGCGGGGTGCGCTGGAGATGCGCAAGCTGGCCATCATGGACTCGGACTCCGATGACGACGATGACGACGACGACGACTTCTGGGACGACGATGACGATGACGACTTCGACGACCTGGACGACCTCATGAGCACGACCGTCCGTATCTGATTGCCAACTTTCTGTCTGTTTTATTATTAAAACACTCTTTTTTGATTCGTTCTTTTTTATTCTTTCCTTCTTTATTCGGAAGCGAAAGGAGACTGACCCACAATGGCTGGTGGACGAAGAGCCTTGAAGTGGTACAGCGGCGCACCATGAAAGGTACTAATAATCCATTGCATTTCGTCTTTGGTCCCCCGAGGGGCTGAGCGGTTCCCAAGAAATCAAACAACAATTCCTTAACTATCAGTTATTACTATGAAGATATCACTATCAAGGAGATGGATATCGTGGGGGCGCGTTCGATAAAATCACCAGCCCACCACAGCGACCTCCCCGACACGGTCGGAGTTGTCCGCCAAAAAGTCTCCTGAATTTCTGGTGTTGTGCCAGACCAGGTATAATAGTGCACAGAGGCAGAAGGGACCACTTATTCTACACCACACACCACACAAGATGACAACCACTCCAGAGAAGCTCAGCCCCTTCGAAGCAGAGACTATGCGCCTGCGCCTGCTCGCGGCCGAGGGGGAAAAGATGGCCGATGAGTGCTGTCGCCCGCAGCCGGCGCACCCCCTGCCCGTTCTGGAGTCGATGGGCCTGAGCGTGACCTCCTTCCGTCGCCTGGTCGAGGAGCTGACCGGCACCGTCCAGGTCCTGGACAAGCCCGCGGAGATGAAGACACACATGCCCCTCGATCAGTTGGCCGACGAAAATCGCCAGCTCGCCACGCTGGCGCTCAACATCGCCAACCACACGCCGGACAACACCGACCGAGCCACGACCGCGCGTCTGTGGAATGCCTTCGAACCCCTAGCACTCCGGCTCTCTCTCGCCAACCGGGCACTCTACGAAGCTCGCGCCAAGGGCCGCTGGTCCACCGTTGCCATTCCCAGCAACCCCACCCAAGCTGAATTATATTGAATGAAATTGGGTAATTTCCTTTTATAGTTGCAATTAGAGTCACTGTTTGGCCGAAACTAGGGGGTACGGGAAGGCGTCCTGGCTTGCCTCTGGCCAACTTTGGGCTGATCCCAGTTTGGTTTGGCCCTAGTCTGCAGAATCATTCATTCTGGTAGGTGGAGATGCTGATCCAACCTCGACTTCGGTTTTTAGGTACACCAGCGGAAGGGCGTGACGTGAGCGACCGGAGTTGTATGGCGTGCCTGTTTCGCTGGCTCTTCGCCAACCAATCAAGGCCGCGCATTAGCAGTCTCAGCGCCTTCTCCATCCGCCCGCAAACGGTCTAGAGCATTCAAACCAACGGCCAAGAGCAACAACATCATCACCATCACAGCACCACCATCACTATCACCATCACACTCACAGGCAATGAAGACGATGAACAACAATCACCAAGGGATTGATTACGAAAAGGAGGTGGGCGATGAAGATACGCACTTAGCCTTTGTGCTGCCGGCCGGCTACGCTGAGTCGCATAGCGCCGAAGACATCCGCAAGTTTGTGATGGTGCAGATCATGGCGCTGGTGCTGGCCACCTTGCACCTGACACTACTGGGCCTCGGCACCCTGTCCACCTTCTCCTTGGCCGCGGTGCTCCCGCTGGAAATCGTCGCCCTCTACCTGCTGCGGGTCAAGCACGACTTCGTCAGGGCAGCCCTCCTTCTCACCAGCGTCATCAACTTTACAACCCTCTTCGCGTGCCTCCACTACGGTCTCGTCCCAGAGATCTACGTGTGGCTCGGCTGGTAAATATTATCCTTTTCCCCCCCTTCCCACTAAAACATGTTCTACACGAATGGAGTAAAAATCGATTGAACAAGATGTTGAGGGTGGTGCTACGTCTTGTGTATGCAGGGTGCCAAAGATCTTATCGTTCACGATGGGCGTCGAAGGCGGCTTGATAGGCCTGGCGCTGGTGCTGGTCGAGGGTGCCGTCCTCTTTCTGCTGGGCTCTACGCGCTCGAGCGGGATCCAGGTCGAAGAACCAGCGCGGGCGCTCA